GAGGCTGTTTCGGCCCGCCAAAATGCCGGAGGTCAAGGCGAAGGCAGACGATAATGGGAACTTCCCTGCCGACGTCATGCCTGTCGCGCGCGCGCGCGCCATCTACAACTTCACCTCCTCCCGGCTCGCCCAGCGCCGGCACCAGCACCATAGCGTGCGTTCCCTTTTCTCCCCTTTCCCATCCCTTCTTCTTTGTCTTCTGTGCGCCAACCAAGCGCCAACCGCCTATTCCACACAGGAAACCCAACGTCTTCGTACCCTCCCTCTGAAGTTGACTTGGAGAAGCTAACGTCTGTGTGTGCTAGTTCGACATGCATCAACGCAACGCCAAGTGGGCGCATCGTGTTCAAGCTGTACGACACGGAGGTGCCGCACACGGCGCAGAATTTCCGTGAGTTGGCGACGATGGAGCATGGGTTTGGGTATCGGGGGTGTGGGTTCCACCGGATTATCCCGGCGTTCACGCTCCAGGGCGGGGACTTTACGCGCGGGGATGGGACGGAGGGGAAGAGTATTTTTGGGGAGAAGTTTGCTGGTGTGTCTGCCCTTCTCGGTGACCCGTTCCATGCTTTCGACTCACACCCACCGGGCACAGACGAAAACTTCATCCACCGACACACGCGCCCGGGGCTGCTCAGCATGGCGAACGAGGGGCGCAACACCAACGGCTCGCAGTTCTTCATTACCACCGTGCCGACGCCGCATGTGCGTACCCTTCTACTCGTCTTTACTCCTCCCGTCTCTGACCTCGATCTTGCCATTTCTCTTCCCCTCTTGCGTTTCACGAATCCTCCCTTTCGCTCCGCTCCCTCCCCCGCGCCGTGTCTGTTCGCTCCCGTCCCCAGCTCGACAACCTGCACGTCGTCTTCGGCGAGGTCGGCTCGGGCATGGACGTCGTCCGCGCCATCGAGGCGCGCGGCTCGCGCTCTGGTGCCCCGGGCGCGAAGGTCGTGATACAGGAGTGTGGGGTCGTCGATGTGGATTGAAGTGCGGGAGTGTGGGGGTGTGGATTAAAAACGAACGGTGGAGGCCTAAAACTAAAACCAACATCTAGAGCATAGCGCGTCGACTTCACTCGAGGCGGGATCTGTGCCGTATCTAACTCGTATAATTGGATTGCATTGTATTGGATCTATCTGACGGTCTAGACTTTTTGTTGTCTCCCCTCCAACTTGTGCACCTCTTTATGGTTCCGTAGGTATTCGAGGTTCAGCGAATGCGGATACAGATCCAGTGGCGGGTGGTCCGCGTCTCCACTTCCTTAAGCTTGGTGCAATGGTGAAGTTCAAGGAGAAGTCGCCCGTTCGATCCGGGCCTGGGTCATGCGCCAGAGATCTTTCGCTTTTTTCACATTTTTCACATTTTTTATGGCCCTGTCTTGCCATGGATTCACTCACACACTGACCACCCTCGTCTTACTTGCAGTCCACCCGCGAAATGTCGGGCGAGTCGTGGTTCATTCCATTCACTCTTAAGCATCCCTTCGGATTACTATTGCGAATTTTACCAATTTTCTTTTGTTGATTTTTTGCATGGTTTGTCCAGGCTCGAGCCAAGGTGGATACAGACCCAGTGGCGGATGGTCCGCATCTGTTTCTCTTGATCGATAAAATCTAGTGTCAGCAGAATGAGCCCGTTCGATCCGGGCCTGGGTCATCTTTAGTGTAGTGGGTTTTTTTTTTTCTCTCTCTTTTTGTTTGTACTAGGCCTACGTCGAACGGGTTCAAGCCCGACTTTATATTTTCTATCTTGCTTTCATGCCAACCAGCCTCCACTTGCTGCGGCTCATGCTCTGAGATCGAAGCAAACATTCACCTTTTCATTCGAATATACTGTTGCATATTCCATCGCTTTCCTAGTTATTTCTTATCCAAGTTATTCAAGGTCAAAATAAGCCGAGTACAGAACCGGTGGCGAATGGTCCACATCTGTTTCTCTTAATCATTAAGGCAACCAGCGCGTAAGGAGAAGCCGCTCGTTCGAGTCGGGCCTGGGTCATCATCCAGAAATCTATCGCTTTTTTCACATTTTTTAGGGCTCTGTCTTGCCATGGATTGCACTTACACATTGATCCCCCTCGTCTTACTTGCAGCCCACCACACCTCACCCGCGAAATATCGAGTCACGCTTCGAATGTACTAAGTATGGCAGATTTCACCTCTCTTGTTCATTTCTTACTCAACATGTCCAGGCTCAAAATAAGGCAGGTACAGACCCAGTGGCGGATGGTCCGCATTTCCATCTCATTGAGCAGTTTGAGGCACTTAAGGAAGTAGCTCGTTCGATTCGGGCCTGGGTCATGACTTTGTTACGACGTTCTTTTTCTTTTCTTTTGGTTCGGTCTCCCTTTGTTTGATTTTCACACTGGCTGATCACGCCCAGTTTATTTGAAGTGCACTAGCTACGGAGAGGGATTATTAACTTTCCGTTGAGTGTACTGATGCGATTTCACCGCTTTCTTCGTTATTCCTCACTCGGCTTATTCAGGCTCGAGAAAAGGCGGAGAAGACCCAGTGGCGGATGGCCCGCATCTCCATTCCTTAACAGAAATGCTAACGTCAAGATGTAAGGAGAAGTCGCCTGTTCGATCCAGGCCTGGGTCATGGCTCATTCGTAGACTCTTTTTTTGGTAGTTTTGGCTTGCATTCGATTGGACTTGCACACTAACCACCCTCGTTTTACTTGCAGCCCACCACACCTCACCCGCGAAATACGAAATGTCGAGTGACTCGTGGTTCATGCGCCATTCCATTCGAATGTACTATTGCAGATTTCACCTCTCTTGTTCATTTCTTACTCAACATGTCCTGGCTCGAAATAAGGCAAATACAGACCCAGTGGAGGATGGTCTGCACCTCCATTCTTTCATAATTTCTCGGACTTGCAAGGAGAAGTCGCCTGTTCGACTCGGGCCTGGGTCATGCGCCAGAGATCTATCGCTTTTTTCACATTTTTCACATTTTTTATGGCCCTGTCTTGCCATGGATTGCACTTACACGCTGACCAACCGCGTCTTACTTGCAGCCCACCACACCTCACCCGCGAAATATCGGGCGAGTCGTGATTCATGCACCCTTCCGTTCGGATTACCATTGCGAATTCTACATTTCTCACTCAACGTATCTAGGCTCGAAATAAGGCAGGCACAGACCCAGTGGCGGTGGTCCGCGTCTCCACTTCCCCTGATGGGATCCAGTCTGTAAGGAGAAGTCGTCCGTTTGATTCGGGCCTGGGTCATCCACCAGAGTTCAAACCTTTTCTTTTTCTTTCCCGACTGAACTTTTGCGTTTGCATATATTTCACAATGAGCGCCATCGTCTTATTTGATGTGTACTAGCTACCCACCTACCCGTGCAATATGGAGAGGAATTATAACTTTACGTTGGATGTACTGTTGCGATCTCACAGCTTTCTTCGTTATTTTTCATTCGGATTATCCAAGTTCGAAGCAAGAGGGATACAGACCCAGTGGCGGGTGGTCCGCGTCTCCATTCTTTGAGCCAGCCTGGTACAGTACTTAAGGAGAAGTAGCTCGTTCGATTCGGGCCTGGGTCATCCCCCAGAGTTAAAACCTCTTCTTTTTGTTTCCCGACTAAACTTTTGCGTTTGCATATATTTCACAATGAGCGCCATCGTCTTATTTGATGTGCACTAGCTACCTAGCCATGCAATATGGAGAGGAATTATTACTTTCCGTTGGATGTATTGCGATCTCACCGCTTTCTTGTTGATTTTCACCGGACCTATCCAGGCTCGAGAAAAGGGGGAGAAGACCCAGCGGCGGATGGTCCGCGTCTCCATCTCTTTATGCCAATGAAAAATGGTAAGGAGAAGCCGCTCGTTCGATTCGGGCCTGGGTCATGGGTCATTCGTAAGCCCTTTTTTTGTGGTAGTTTTGTCTTGCCTTCGATTGGACTTGCACACTGACCACCCTCGTCTTACTTGCAGCCCACCACACCTCACCCGCGAAATGCGAAATATTGAGTGAATCGTGGTTCAGGGTCGCTTCGATGCATTATGCCTATGCAGCCTTCGCATCTCTCTTGTTCATTTCTAGAGTTCTCACTCAACATATCTAGGCTCGAGATGAGGCAAGTACAGACCCAGTGGCGGATGGTCCGCGTCTCCGTCTCTTCAGAGTAACTGGAGGAAATCCTTTGTAAGGAGAAGTCGCCCGTTCGATCCGGGCCTGGGTCATTCGCCAGAGATCTATCGCTTTTTTCACATTTTTCACATTTTTTATGGCCCTGGCTTGCCATGGATTGGACTTACACACTGACCACCCTCGTCTTACTTGCAGCCCACCCGCGAAATGTCGGGCGAGTCGTGGTTCATTCCATTCACTCCTAAGCATCCCTTCGGATTACTATGCGAATTTTACCAATTTTCTTTTGTTGATTTTTTGCATGGTTTGTCCAGGCTCGAGCCAAAGTGAATACAGACCCAGTGGCGCATGGTCCGCATCTGTTTCTCTTGATCGATAAAATCTAGTGTCAGCAGAACGAGCCCGTTCGATCCGGGCCTGGGTCATCTTTTAGTGTGGGAGTTTTTTTTTTTTTTTTTTTTTCTGTCTCTTTTTCTTTGTACTAGGCCTTGAACCCGTACGTCGAACGGGTTCAAGCCCTACTTTATACTTTCTGTCTTGCTTTCATGCCAACCAGCCTCCACTTGCTGCGGCTCATGCTCTGAGATCGAAGCAAACATTCACCTTTTCATTCGAATATACTTTTGCATATTCCATCGCTTTCCTAGTTATTTCTTATCCAAGTTATTCAGGATCAAAATAAGCCGAGTGCAGACCCAGTGGTGGATGGTCCACATCTCCATTCCTTCCACACTTTATGAAACACGTAAGGAGACGCCGTCTGTTCGATTCGGGCCTGGGTCATAGGTGCTGGGCGATGTTTTTCTTCTTTTTCTTTCCTTGCTCTGACTTTCCGTTATTTCACTTCCAGCATATTCGATATATGTCTATGCGCGCAATACGGAGAGAAATTATTCACCATGGAGGATACAGCGCCGAATGTATGTGACCCCATAGTTCGTGTTTATCCAGGCTCGAAACAAAGCGGATACAGACCCAGTGGCGGATGGTCCGCGTCTACATTCTTTAGGTAGTTTGCCAGTTTGGTAAGGAGAGGTCGCCTGTTCGACCCGGGCCTGGGTCATGACTTGGGCTGTTCTGTTATTTGTTTTTTTTCCCCCCCTTTTTTCCCCCCCTTTTTTCCCTTTTTTTCCCCTTCTCGTTCCCTTCTCGTTCGACTTGACTCTAGTGTGAAAGGGTGTTGCAGTGCACTCTACAAATACCCCACCCGCGAAATATCGAGTAGTCGTCATTCACTCACGCTTCGAATGTACTATTGCAGATTTCACCTCTCCCTCGTTCAATTCCCACCCAATTCATCCAGGTTCGAGACAAGGCAGATACAGACCCGGTGGCGGATGGTCCGCGTCTCCATTTCGTTGTAGAGTGCAATCGAGTCAGGAGAAGTCGCCCGTTCGATTCGGGCCTGGGTCATGACTCAGACATAGTCCTTTTTTTTTTGGTAGTTCTGTTTTGGTTTCGATTGAACTTGCACACTGATCTCCGTCATCTTACTTGCAGTCCACATAAATATCCCACCCACGAAATATCGAGTGAGTCGTGGTTCATGCGCGATTCCGTTCGGATTACCACTCCGAATTCTACATTTCTCACCCGGCTTATTCAGGTTCGAAATGAGGCAAATACAGACCAAGTGGCGGATGGTCCGCGTCTCCATTCTTTGAGCTAGCCTAATAAATGGTTAAGGAGAAGTAGCTCGTTCGATTCGGGCCTGGGTCATTATATATTGTTTCCTTGATTTTGGTATTTTTTCCCGACTTGCGCGATTTTCACACTTCCAGGCCTTATTCCTCGCCTGTGTTGCAATGCAGAGGATATCCTCCAGATGGATCGCTCTGTCCTTGTCAGTGCTGTCATTTTGTGCCTTCTCCTGTCCATTTCTCACTCGACATATCCAGGCTCGAAGCAAGGTGGATGCAGACCCGGTGGCGGGTGGTCCGCATCTCCATTCCTTAACAGAAATGCTGACGTCGAGATGTAAGGAGAAGTGCTCGTTCGATTCGGGCCTGGGTCATCATCCAGAAATCTATCGCTTTTTTTCACATTTTGTCACATTTTTTATGGCTGTCTTGCGTTCGATTGCACTTACACGCTGACCGACCTCGTCTTACTTGCAGTCCACCACATGAATATCCCACCGACGAACTATCGAGTAAGTCGTCATTCAGTCACGGTTCGAATGTACTAAGTAAGATTTCACCTCTCTTGTTCATTTCTCACTCAACATGTCCAGGCTCGAAATAAGGCAAATACAGACCCAGTGGCGGATGGTCTGCGTCTCCATCTCTGTATACCAATGAAGAATGGCAAGGGGAAGTTGCCTGTTCGATTCGGGCCTGGGTCATAGGTGCTGGGCGATGTTTTCCTTCTTTTTCTTTCCTCGCTCTGACTTTCCGTTATTTCACTTCCAGCATACTCGATATATGTCTATGCGCGCAATACGGAGAGGAATCATTCCCAGCACCGGATGCATGTAGGTGGTTCCCTCATTCGCGTCCTGCGGTTCACGCATCCATCCAGCCTCGAAACAAAGTGGATACAGACCCAGTGGCGGATGGTCTGCATCTCCATCTCTTGAAACTTTGCCATAGACGTAAGGAGAAGTCGCTCGTTCGATTCGGGCATTGGTCATAAATCTGTCTTCGACTGGTTTTTTCTTCTTTCTTTCTCGACTTAACTTTTGCCTCGAATTTTAGACCTAACCTTCCTTGTCTTTACTTGCAGCATACTCGATATAGGTCTACCCGCCCAATGCCAGGGTTGAGAGGAATTAATTAAATCTTTCCGTTGAATGTAGCATTGTATATTTAACTGCCTCTCGTTCACTTCTTACTCAACGTATCTAGGTTCGAGCCAAGGTGGATACAGACCCAGTGGTGGATGGTCCGCGTCTCCATTCTTCAGGTCGGCCTGGTACAGTAGTTAAGGAGAAGTAGCCCGTTCGAGTCGGGCCTGGGTCATACGCCAGCATTCAATGGTTTTTTTTTCCCACATTTTTATGGCTTGTCTAGCCATCGATTGGACTTACACACTGATCTTCCTCGTCTTGCTTGCAGTACACCACATAAATACCTCTGACCTCGAAATATCGAGATGAGTCATGATTCAGGTTCCCTTCGATGCATTATGCAGCCTTCGCATCTCTCTTGTTTATTTCTAGAATTCTCGCTCAACGTATCTAGGCTCGATGCAAGATGGATACAGACCCGGTGGTGGATGTTCCGCGTCTCCACTTCCTTGCGGGAGTGATGGAGTTCAAGGAGAAGTAGCCCGTTCGATTCGGGCCTGGGTCATCCACCAGAGTTCAGACCTTTTCTTTTTCTTTCCCGACTAAACTTTTGCGTTTGCATATATTTCACGATGAGCGCCATCGTCTTATTTGATATGCACTAGCTACCCACCTACCCGTGCAATATGGAGAGGAATTATAACTTTCTGTTGGATGTACTGTTGCGATCTCACCGCTTTCTTCATTATTTTTCGTTCGGATTATCCAAG